ATTATTATTATTGTTATTATTATCAGCATTATTACTCACACATGCACATGTGGGTGTTCCAGTGGAAGCCCGGTCCGCACTCACAGCCGTAGCCGTCAGGGTGGTCCTGACATCTGGGCGCCGTGTAGTAGTTCTTCAGACAGTGGCTGTACTTCAGGACGACGACGCCTGCAAAAGAAACAACAAAATATCCAATGTGTGTATTCTTGTTTGTTGTTGATTCTTTGTATTGGTTAGAAAACACGCACAAACACTGCACACGTAGAATGCTTTATATTGTCGTTGTAGTTATAAGATCGGATAATATGTGACATCGGGTAAATCTTTCACTAGAAGCAAAAGAAAAAAACAACAACAACAAAAACAACAACAACAAACAAAAAATAAACAAACAAAAACCAAAAACCAAAAACCTAAAACAACAACAACAACAACAAAACAAATGTTGTGAATAATTAACGCCCTCATTGTCACAAAAGATTATTTGCAAAGTGTACCTGCTTCCTTATCCCGTGTAGATTGTAAGCCTAGTACCACACAAAAATAATGTTAGTTTTGTTTGGGCATAAGCAGCGAAGAATGTGAAAATAGAAATAAATCTAGAAAAAAGGCAATTGAATTGATTTTAGTGCCTTGAAAGCTTAGTAGAAAAGCTAGACCTAGATCGCTGGTTTACTAAAAGTTGGTACAGGTGAACTGAGTGCCGATGAGCTGCAGTCATACGACGGATTAGATTGTTTTCTCAGCTCTTTACTTCCTCGTTCTCTTTAATAATGTTTGAGGATCATCTTAAGTAAAACTATTTGAAATTTCACATTGATTTCTGAAATAGGGCACAGTGAGTGTGTCAGTTCAGACCGATTCTTTTAAAAATCCAGCTCGCGACAAGCCATACGGAGACAATCGGACTGCCCGCGGCCAAGAAGAGAGAAGAGGGTAAAACAGTTGACCAGTGGTTTTGTTGGTGAGCTGGTGACAATGACAATGAGAGAAACCAACAGCACAAACACAACGCGACTATATTTAATAGTGCTTCTCTTATTTTCATTGTCTTGTTTTAGAAAGTGTTTCACGTCACTTGCAACACAATAAGGTCATATAAGTGCCGAAGATTAGAGGTGTTACGAGAGAGTAACAAACACAAAAAAGAAGGAGGGGAGAAAAAGACGATAATTGTTTAGTAGGAAAGGAGAAACAAACCACACCAGAACACCCGCCAACCACCCACCTTTCATTGTCTACATTTCATCAACAAAACCGTTTGCCAACATGTCTGTGGTAGTGAGGTGCAAGGCTACAGCGTATTTTGCACTACTATTGACGCAGTGAAGATCAATTTGGAGACAGGCTGTTACAATTCTGTCTCTTAAGGCAAACCCTGGGTCGAACAGAGTACAGAACCTCAGATATCTGGGAGTGGTGTTATCGGTTTGAATGATTTGATTGTTGTCAGCAATGTCAGTGATTTCGACGTGGAAAAGCATTGGGAGCTACAAAGCTCTAGGGTAATTCCTCATCAAATGGAGAACCTTTTGACTTCAAAAAGGTCGCATCGCGTGTACATTATATTTCATGAAGTTCACCTTTCTAGTAATGTTTTGGTAAAGTAGTGCACTTTTCAAGATGCGTGTTTGGCAAACTTGTCCCATCCTCAATGCCCCACCACCATTTTCCCCATTGTTTTAAATAGGGTAAAACTGTAAGCCAAAAAAATTAACTCCTTTCTTTGTGAAGCTATCATTGGAACTGACAGATCAATTAGAATAAAACCAAATAAATAAAATCATCCATCTATCGTTCAGCTCATCCATACATGCAACCGTTCATGCACACACCCACTCCATATTCTATGGTCTCAGATAAATTTTAATTGCATCACACTTCCCCCTATATCTATCTGTATGTCTGTCTGTCGCTCTCTCTCTCTCTCTCTCTCTCTC